CCTGCTGGGAAGGCAGCACATTGTTGAGCTTTCTAATGACTTCTCATTTCTCAAATGTGGTTTAGAGATACAGTGAGGAATGCGGTCATCTGCCAAACAGGTGGAACAACTGCTTGTACACAGCCACCTTACCTTGCTGCCAAATTGGTAGAAAGGGGAACAACTAACTACAGTGTGCAATGGTCCCTGGAGAGTTCAATTACGCAATTCCTGAAAATGAAGAAGAATTTTTTAAAAAAATTGTAAACAACAACAGCAGATCCCCATATTGTGAGAAGCTGTAGAACATGGATATAGGCAATTTGTTTTGTTTGCCTGGGACCTTAAAATGAAGCCAGGGCAGTAAAACAAAGGTGTCATAGGAAATGAAAAGCAAGTCCAGTGGGAAATGCAGTCAGAAATAAAATGATATCCACAAAATTGGTTGTATTCAAGCCTAGAAAGGGAATACTGCAGAAAGAAGGAATAGCTCTACATTGTACTAATAAAGTAAATTGTCTATGTCTCACAGAAACAGATGTCTCAAAACAAATATATCAAATGCAGGATTTTTTTTCTGTGTTTTTTTGTGAACCTAATAATAATACCTTGCAATTTTCGCTTAGGTGAGAGAGGTAAAAAAACTCGATATGAAGGTGGATGACTGTTGTTATCTTTGTGCTATAAAAGTGGAAACTGAAATGTAACACCTTTTTCATTTACACTGTTTGGCAGACTAGTGTCTTAAAGTGGAGGCTATTATGTTCACTCCTTATATTAACATCCAGGCACTTCTGTCCTGCTGCAGCTGGCACTCCTTGGTCTTATTGTAGATGAAATATGGGTCCGAAGTCATTGTTCCAGTACATAATGGAAAGCTATAGTAAGACTTAAACCAAAACCCAGTTTTTCCTGTGCCCATTTCAGTGAAAAAAACAAAGATGAGGATTCTCCTGCTTCACATAAGCTGCCTGTTTCAGAAAAGAAAGTTGTAAGAGGCATGAAATTATATGAAGATCACACACAGATTTAGCTAAATAAAAAATTATGTTCACCATAACTGGAGATTTTTAACAGAGCTTCTCAAAAAAAAAATAGTCAATAATGAGAACATTAATTTTTGGAAGGAAAAAATACCTCAGAACTTTTGCATTGAAAAACTAATGGCATCCAGTTGGAAAAAACCCTAAACCAAATCATTTGGTTGCTTTCCTAGAAATACATATTTTTAAAGACAAGACAATAAAAATTGCTTTTCTTGGAATATCAGCATTCTGTTTTGTTTCTCCTGCTTAATAATTAAAATTTTCTTTCTGATAATCCTTTCACTTGCACAAAACAAATCAGTCGCCACTCCACTAAAGCTAGAGTTATATTTCTAGGAATAGGTGAGACCCCGTCACCTGAGGTGTGAAAGCTGAGACAAGGAGGCTGCTCTCTATCATTCTGTTTGAGTCCCAGGTGTCTTGTGAGAATCATTTGAAGCAATATAAGAGCCAGAGAGCTGCAAAATATACTTTCTCGGGGGAATGGTAGTTTCTGCAGTATTTTTCAAGGTCCAGTTTCATTCCCCTTTGTCCCAATGCAGCTTGACTGACAAACTGACATGGAAAACCAAGAGGGTGAGTTCCTCCCTAGCTTCCCAAGTTTGCTTGTGATGTTGAATGGGCCAGCAGACACATGTAGCTGGTTTTTATTTTTTTCTTCATTTAGAGCACAGTTTTGGACTTCGCCACTAAGCAACTTAAAAGCCAGCGATAATCTTGTTTTATAGATTAAATGTGAACAATGTCTTTGGCTGGTAGAGCTGTGCCTGTGCAATGTCTATAAGCAAAGTGAATGCTTTCCAGGCAGTCTGCTTGACTGTGCTTATTTACCACCAAGGATAACAGGCTATATTTACCACCAAGGATAACAGGCTATATTTACTCCTAAAGATTTAATAAGTTTGAAATGCTTAACACTGACTAGATGCAATCTGTCCTAAGCAAACATCATATACTAACTGGCAAGAAATGTTGTCATTCAACTTTCATACAACATGATAGAAGCAACACCTGTATTGAGGAAAGAAAAAAGTGGATGTTTCAATGAAAGATCTGAAATATTTGATCTCATTTATTGAAAGTTGTGCAGGTAGCTTGCTCTAAACAATACCAGAATGAGGGTTTCAGTTCTTCAGGATGCTGCATATAACTTGCAAACTATATTCAGAATGTTTTCTTTTCCCTTCTTTAGCAGCCCCTAAAACCAACACTGAGAGCACTTCATCCAGCAGGCAGGTGAGTACTGAGGAGAGCAAGATCTCCATTCCTGTCTTGCCCAGCTGAACTTCTTGGGGTTTAGCAGTTATCATTGCAGCGTCAAACTACATTCATCTGCCATTCTGCAGACTTGCCAGGAAAATGTAGAGCAGCATCCTGATTAACAAATTTTGACATAAGTTCTATCTAAGGAAAGCTGAATTAGTCAACTACGGGTGCAGAGTAAATGTGCATAAATGCAAAGTGGATTATGCCTGCGTGTGGATGTTCCTAGTAAAGTGTAATTGGCTTCTAGGTTAGTGATAATTAGATATTACTCATATGAGGCTTCTGCATTCCTGAATGTCGGCATTCCTGTACACTTTTAAATGTGCACTGATTTACCTTCATTTACCTTTTGCTTTAACTGAATTCCGTTATTTTTCCTGTGAGTCATACTATAGATGCAAACTTTGATTGAAATTACTCTTTTTGAAAAAAGCCATGCATTTCCCATGCCCTATGAAAATCTGTACATTTCACAAACCCCACTGAATTATTTTGTGGTGGATTTAAACACCTTTTAAAATCTTAGTGAAGAGAAAATAGCTGTCACTTTCAAATACCTTTGCTGGCTGAGCAAAATGACGCTGAAGAACTAGGATTTGCATCAGTCTGATGATGTATGTTAAAACTAAAATTCATTAGATTGGCAGAATGATTGTAGCAAATAAAATGTCAAGTACCCTGACAACATAATCCGTGATTTGTTTTTGCATCAATTTTCTGCAAAGACTTGATTTTGTTTTTCTGAATAACACCAGTGTATGTCATTCATGGCGTTTCAGCTACTCAAGCCATTCAGAGCTACAAAAGGCACAAAAGCAGAATTTTTAAATCAAGAAAAGGCACACACTAAAAAGGAGGGGTTCAAATGGAAGCTCAGGAAAAAGGTTAAAAAAGGGCTTCTCATTTGTGTGTGTCTATTTTTATAATCATTAATCCTAAAGATTCAGTTTTGTGGACAACATGAGCACAACTTCCCAGCACTTTTGCATGGGTCTGAAAAAGGACTTGTGAGTCTGCCAGTTATTTGAATGGTCTTGTAAAAGAATCATCATCATACCATTCTTGCCTCACTTTTGTATTAGAGGAGATAAAAGATTAATTCCCACAACAGCATCAGCAAATGATGAATTGTTTTTAAAAATATTAATATAAACATATTATAAGAACAGCTCAGGTAACCCTGCAGCTAGGAAAATAGGAATTTGGCTAAAAATATCCCCAAACCATAGTTGTGGTTAATGTCTTCCCATCTATCAGAAAGCTAGATTAATTTGTTATAAACTGAACCCAGGGTGAACCTCCCCACAAGCCGAGAGAAATCTTCCTCTCATTGTTGCTAGTCAATTTGTTACTTACTTTATTTCTGATTTGTTTGATGTTAGGTTCACACTTCCTAAGGCAAGCTCAACATTGGTTGTGGGTTCTACCAGAGACCTCCTACATACCTTTGATGGAATATAAAATATTCTTACAGCTAGAGAGATGTGATAAGTTTCTGTTTGTTTAAACAAATGTTTGTGGTCTTAACTTTTCAAGTTCCCTCCACAAATCACTTATGCTTTAAACAAGGCAGCCTGAAAACAATTATCCTGTCGGAACTCAAAAACATTCAAAGGGGTTATTTTAATTATATAATGGCAATTACTGGCACACGTGCATTACACTTGAAGCATGACAAGCCCTCTCCCCTTTCTCGTAATCTGATCCTGACTTGCAGAATCTGTAATAAAAGTGTCCTAGAGCGTCTATGTTTTTTAATTTTGTCCAATAATTTTGCTGACTCAGCACCAATTATTTTAAAAGCTGTTGCTGACAAATGATAGCCTTGAATTAAGGCTGGCTCAGCAAACCATCTGTTGGCAGTTTCATACTCGAACAATACAAGGCTGCAAATGCAGAAGGTGGCTTTCATCACAAAAGTTTTCACTTGAAAGGAAGTTATTGAAGAGCAACTGGGCTGGGTAGGAGCTGCTCAAAGGAAACCACCCATCTAAGAAGGAGTGATTGGATTTGCACCACTCAGGAGATGGGCACTCAAGAGCTCATTTTTTACTGGTTTATTGTGACAGTTCAGTTATATATATGTTTATGTGTGCTTAGGCATGTATTCCTGAATTTTTGTTTTTTATATATGTGCACATCTGTATGTGTACACTCACATACAAGCTTACTGAAAAAAGGAGATATAGATACATAAACTAATATGGTAACTGAGTCTCAGCTGTGGTTGCTCTAAAACAGGTCAAATACATGATGGATCTGACAGAACTGGGGCAGTGGCCAGGTATATTTCCCTTGCTCAGCTCCACCCTGTCCAACAAACATACACATACATGCACACATGCTGTCAATGAGACCCAGAGGGTCTTTTGCAGCCTAGCAAAAAGTTTACAAGGAAACTATAGATTGTTCATAAGACTTTGGCCAGCAGCCCATTCCTTATACATCACATGCCATAGAAAAGTATATTGCACCAGGGACTTGCCCAGGCAGTTGCTAAAACTGTACGTTTGACAGGTATAAATTTAAAGAGGCCATAGGTAAGAAATAGTAAAGATGTTGCTCATACCCTTTTTCATAGATGCCATGAAGGACTACAGGGCAGGGATTTTTTTTATTTCCCATACATATTTGTGCAGAACTCTTGTTATGATAGCGGCATGTGGACACTGCTGAAAAAGAGAGATAAATGTTTATACATGATTACTTGAAAACATCACTAATAATGGAAATTTTTCCAACTTTCTTTCTTTCAGCAAGTTTCTAAGAAGCAAGGTTGAACAGCTTACTGATCCAAGGCAGATCTCTGACATGTGGGAGATTTCCTCACCAAAAGGCAATAAAAACAACTGTAGTATTTGCACTTTGTATTAAAAATGTAAATTCACTTTGTAGAAATGAAATATTTAAACAGACTTTTTTTTAATCTGTGAAAATATAATGGCTAGTTTTGAAAAATTATCACATACAATGTATGTGTATTCTTTTGTTGTCTGAAATATGTAAAACGTGTTGGAGATGTAAAAGTTTGCATTTAAACCATTTTTTAAAAAAATAGCTTTCTGGCAAAGAGTAGCATAGAAACCTGATTCTATGTATTTTGGTTTCAATAGTATGCCTTGTTTTTCTTAATCAATACTGTCATTTAAGTAGAGTTATGCTGAAAAGTCTACTGTATTCTCAATTTTGTCCAAGCAGTGTTGGATGTTTCAGGTTTGCAGGACTGAGGGAAGTGTGTAAATTGCTGTTTACTTGGTTTTGCAGTTTTTAACTGAACAGATTTTTCATCGGTGGCAATATTTTATTTCATTTTGGTTTTATTGTTATTATTATGCTTTCCAAAGATCATGCAATGAGAATGCAACCACTAATGGATTCAACACAGTTATTCTACAGTTAGGATACTTGTAGAAAAATGTATCCCTTTATTCATTTTTGAGGTGCCTTCCATTATAAGTTTTGGTAGGATTTTTTCCCCTGTTTGTTTTCACTTGGGTTATTAATACAACAAACCAGCAAGGAGTAAGGTGGATTGTAATGTCACTTCAGTCTGGTTCAGCCTGGGCCTAAAAGCATGTTTCTGTGGTCAGTGCAAAGCAGGAGCAGTGTTTATATGGGTCAGAATTGTAAATCTAACTATAAAGAGACAGGGAAGGCTAAACAGATCGTACAACCTTTTCTTCCCCTGCACCTGGCTGCCCCCATCAACTCTTTGGTTTGCCTCGGGGTCCACTAGAGGTAAAGCTGAACAAATTATGAACAGTTGCTGTCAGGAGAGGCTATTCACATCACCCCTGCCTGAGGCTTTTTCCTTGCTGTCTGAAAGAAGTTCTCACAAGTTTTCATACCTTCTCTGTCATTTCCCCCCCCAGTGCTTTATTGTGTGTGTGCCTGAGAGGAGTAAGAACTTGTGGATGTGAATTTAGAGCAAGGGACCCAAGTGAAAAAGGTTGAGCTCTTGAACAACTGTGAGTTACAAGCAGCTGGGTTGATCGATGCAGTGGTAGATGGACTGCTGGCATCTAGGAGCTGACGTGAAAAGGCAGGAATGTTGCAACAAACAGTGATTTCATTCTGGTTTGTTTAAATAACGTGTGGGATCTGACATGTGACTAGCTAATCAGAATAGCACCCTGGCTTGAGCTTGTACCTGGAAAAGCTTTTTGCAAATAAAAATGTTTCATTTCAATTTCAACATATGCTGAAGTGATAGGAAACACTGTATGCAGTGGAATTGTACCCCAGAAATTATGTACTCTAAGCTTTGGCAGCAGGAAGAACCAAGATGCAACTGTGTGTTATCTTGTATTTTTGTTTTAAAAAGTATTTGTTATTCTTTTATACTGTTAAACTTCGAATTTAATCTTCTTTATAGATTAAAGATCAGTATGTTATCAAACTATGCTGGTGGTTTTTCATCTGCAACACAGATAGCCACGTTTGGAAGCAGGTACACACAGTGGTGACTTCACCACTGCCTTGAGTTTACAAGAAACCTCATGACCTCACATAATGTCCATCTTCTTTTCTTCTCTTGCCCCTTTATAGAATTTTCTCCTAAGGTCGTTTATGCCTTAGTCATACCATTGTTTCTCAAAAGAGTGATTTTGAGGCCAGATCGTTTGTTGCTACTATCTCCATATAGCTTCAGCTTGGTCTCTTGCCCCTTCTCAGCAAAGCACCATGTGGCATAGATAGAGATCACATCTTTTCCCCTTGGTGTGAGTGTGAGCTGCTTGGCAACTTTCAACCTGACTGGAAACAATGAGGAGAGAGAGGCTTAGCACCTGATGAGGTGGGCATAGTATGGTTAATAGCAACATTTTGTAAAGAAGCATCTAATTCCATCACTGTGGCCTTCAGAGACAATATAAATGTAGGCAATCAAATATTTTGTCAAGTCCATGTTTTGAAATGGTAGCCCATTACATTCTGAGGGTGTGTGGGGAGGCAAATTTGGACTAGCCACTTGATTATGTAATGAGTAGCCTTAAACACTTATCAAAGCACAAATAAATATAGGCATTCTCTTAGGTATCCAAAGACTTCTACAACATAGAGTAATTTAATGACTCTACCATGACTGAAACATGAGGTATTTCATCTTTGTACCTATTTCTGTGTCATCACATTTATGGTTCATTTCAATTTCCAGCCATTACACCACTTGGCTGTAAGCAGGACTGAGTTCTCCTAGTTCCAGTTAGAGTCCAGATCCCTAACTGGAACACAGTTGAAAGCCTGCTAAATTCACCTTGCATTCCTGTATCTCCAGTATATCCACAGGATGGATAGTTAAACTCAGATAAATCTTGGCCCTTCTAGTTGTAACCAAGCACGGTTTTGATACCAAAAAGGAATCCATGTGGATAGGCCCTTAGGCTCACACTACAGTACCAGTGTTTATTTAGTTCCACAGTAATTAATTAGTTATAGCTTTTATCCTATTCCATGTGCAACAATTTAGTTTCAATTTTAATTCTGTTCTTATTGGAAGCACAACTTATATTCTGCTTCTCATTGACCAATATTTGTTCTAGTTCCAGCTATTGCTGAACAGATTTATTTAGAGCTTTTATAAAGTTGTAAGTCGAAGACTGTTAAGTTTTAAAAATGTGTATGTGTTCAATGATTTGTCCAGCCTGTAGCAATGTCCATTAGTCAACGGGCCACACAGTGAGAAATGTTCCATATTTTGTTAACACTTTGGATAACGTTCTCATCTTGTTCCCAGCCCTAGAAGTAGGCCAAATTCATAGTTCCAGTTTTACCAAAATCACTTAATTCTCAGTCTTCTCCCAGTCTAACAAAATGCCTAGCTTTCAGATACTCATTTTGCAGAACTGGGACCTAGATGATTGCTCAGAATGACAATTTTTCTTGCTAATGTTGTTTTAGATAATAAGAGAACAAAAAAGCATCAGTTCATATGAGCTTAAGGGAGAAGACTTTAAATACTCACTGCATATAAATCAAGGAACTGTACTTTTCTCATTTGGACCAGGCTTTTGCCCTTCATAAGTGCCACAAGCCAATAGAGAAAGCAGGCATTCCTAGAAAGCTGGAAGGAGAAACAAAAGTATAGATTGTGTCATTAAAGACATTTAAGTATGTCCAAGATTTGGTAGATTTAATTAATATTTTCCTTTTACAGTAATAATAAAAGATGGATTCATAGAGGTTAAGAAATCTTCCCTGGCAAAGATAATTTAATTGTCCCTTTTAAATATTTACACTAGTGTATTATATAACTAGGCTATAGAAACTAGTGTGAAAGAATCTTTAATGCGGAGAGTGAAAGGTTTATTACCTTGGTTTTCTTTAGGATGGCAAATTGATGTAATTTTGGAGTAATTACTTTGACATTAAATAGCAATCAAATAAGTTTATTGATGTCTGAAACATTAGAATGATTATAGTAAATTACTGATAGAAACTGTACTCTTTGTCTCATTTAATTGTTTCAGTTCAAGTTTTATAAGTGAAAATATGCCCTTTGTTTAAAAAGCCTAAATAATACATGTTATTTTTTTCTTTAAACAAAAGCTCATGTGGAAAGCATTCAGAACAACACATTTCTCTAAAACACCCAATGAGGGGGGTGACAGGGAGAGAAGTCTGTCTGGTTTTTATCTAGATTAGAGATAGAAATATATGCAATATTTTGCCTTTCATATGTTCACCTTCCCTATTTCGTCATACACTTTGTCCTCTGACTAATGTCACTGCTGGAATACAAAGCCTATTGGAAGGGAAGACAGAGAAATGAGAGTGCATTCTGTGCATGTGAACAATCTTTTCACAGTCATCTGAGGCATCCTTTCCCTAGAGACTCTTGACATCAATGCATAGGATTGCTTGCTTCTTACCAAATACAGAATTCTTCTTTGCACAGGCATGGAATCCATTCTTGGCTAAATGGGTACTTTATGAAGAAAATCACTCATAAAAGATTAGCACAGTCTATGAGATTGTAGGTGGAAGGCTGAAATTTTGTATTACTCCACAAATAAAAGTTTATGAAGATCTATAAAGCCCACTCAGTACCTGAAGAACATCCATGAAGATGCCTATATCTGTTCTAAGTAGTCAGTCAGGAAAAAATAAGAAAAAAAATGGTGAATGAAGTTTCCACTGAGAAACATTGTTTTCACTAAACCATGACTGAATGATTTCATGTGATTGAGGATTTCCATGAAATTTCACTTTTAAAAGTATTTTTTGGTTTAGTGGTTATTTTTATGTTGAAACTTCTTTTCCTTTATCTAAAAACCATGAAGTGTCAACACTGAAAAGGGGCATTTTGACACCAGTTTTATCCCAAAATTAGATATTGTGAAAGGCAGCAGCATTCTTGCTCTTCCCTCAACTTTTAAAAAAAAATGATATTTGTTTGAAAGAAGTCAGGTTTCCAAACATTAATTTGTCATGCTTCATCTGAATCTCATTTTACAGTCTTTGAGTACCTTGCTATACCTGTATGAGGCAAAGAAATGCTACATTTTCATTTAATAGGACTGGAGCTTGATAATTGATGGATTTAGCCCTGTATGCACACAGAACATGAAAAAACCTGCAATATGGGTAAGGGTATTTATACTAGTTTGTATCTATGCAACACAGTTGAAGCAGTGTGAATTAGTGACCTGCAGAAATATATAGGGCACTTTTCCTGCTTGCAAAACAAGCCTGCCATGGGACTGAATGCAAACACCCTCAAACCTAAAATAATACCCTAGCATATCTCTATCTTTTACCAGTCATTTCACTCAAAGGCTGATGCGTCCCAAACCCCACTTTGACCACTACCTGAGGAGCAGCCCTAGCTCTGTTGGTGTGTAGCTCCCCAGGTAGTCTTCTCAAACCCACATCTTGGGTTCAGTCTTCTGAGAGCCCAGGCTGGGATACCAGTGGGACCAAGACCTAGAACAAAGAACACAAGAAAAACCATGATGACAGATACTGTAAATTACAGGATATCACTCCATAGCTCCGATTTTTTACCCTGGTGGGCTGTGATCCATTGAAAACTCCTGCCCTGTGTCATCATTGACAAACTATCTTCTTGCTTCTTAATCCATCAAATCAGAGTGACAGAACATTGTGCTTCAACCAAAGGGGAGTCAATGTGCGTCTCAGCTAAGGAATATTTGAGAAATACTGTGACCCCTCAACAGATGCATGTGCTCAGTTAACTCCCACCTGACAGTTCCTCTTTCTGCTCAGCACCATATGATGGAACAGTGTCTGCACACATCATCTCTTTAATGCTCTGCAGATGGGAGGTGTGCTTCTCTCAGTTAGTAGTGTATTTCTTTGTGTTGAACGCTCAACATTGAGGGAGGAAGCTTGTTCTCTAGCCTATCGCTTGCTGTTATCCCAGGAGCCTGAATTGTATTGTTGCTGCTTTATATAGGTTTCAATAAATATTTTACAAGACAAAATATATGAAGGATGAGGCGCTGAAGTGGAAGAAAAACAAAGAATGTGCAGTTTAAAAAAGACTAATTAAAAAAAGAGAGAGAGAAGGAAAAAATGAAGCAGAGGTGAATGAAAGGAAGATCATGGAGATACCACAGGG